CAGAGAAGAGAGGCTGTCAAGGTGGAGAAAGGAGGCACCGGAGCTATTTTGAGAGGGTGGGGGGGAGGTAAGAGAAATAAATCCTTATACTTTGAATGAAACAAACAAACACATCCTAAATCCAGAGCAAAATATCCCCAGAGCAGCAAATCGAGTCCATGCTGATGTGTGGAGACAACACGAGCTTTTGCTATGTAAAAGCAAAAAGAAGTGAAGAGAGGAGCTGTGTGTCCCAGCACAGTTTCAGCCTGTGCTTCACAACAAAGAGTTTCTACTCACACAGACAGACTCAAAACGCTCTTGGAAAGCCTGGCACCCCTGTCCTGGAGCACCTGAGGACAGAGAGCTGTCTATTCACAAAAAAACTTTCAACAACATCTCCTGGCCGTGGATGGAGACAGACTTGGACTCTGTGACATTTTCCATGTTGAGACGGTAATCCTCAGCGTTCACCTTGCTTTGGCTAATACCTGATGATAGGACTTTGAGATGAAACTGCTGTAAGACATATTCAGGAAGTTTGGCTCTTCAAAGCTTCTTGAGGCTGGACACATCTTAAGCATCATCTGCATTCATCACCAGCCCAAATAAACAAGAGATGCATCAGGGATGCAGCAACAGGAGTGCCCCTGGGATGCTCCTGGCAGTGACGCGTGGTACCGGTGGCTCGGAAGGCCTTTGGTGTGCCTCCTTCCAAGAGGCTGAAGGTAAGGCAACTCTCTGACATTCTCTTCTCTGCACTCCTCAGACCCAAATTAGCTGTAGCCTGTCCAGTAGGAACCTTGCACTGGGTTAAAAAAATGGGACATGAAGCACTGTAAGTGACAGATCAGGGGCTGGGAGAGTCAGCCAAAGGGAAATAAAAGACAGTGAGTGGGAAAAGTGGCCAAACAGGACAGTATCTTGCACTTTCTGGTTAATATGGGGAGGAAATGGGAATTCACTAGCCCAGGAATTCATTATCCCAGCCCAAGGACCAACCCCATAAAGCTCTGGGCTTGAGTTCCCAGCTGTGACAACACATCCATGCAGAGCCCAAAGGAGATGCACGTCTCCTCTTCACCCTTGCTAGGAGTTGGCCTCAGGAATGGCAGGGGCTCTCCTCTCACTTGTTCAGAGTGAGTTAGTTTGGCAGTGGCTGTGTCTGCAGAGAGAAGGGAGCATTTCTTGCTAATGACCTGGGATGAGTGGTGGGGGAGTGGGTGTCATTGCTGAGGATGAGCTGGCCATGCATTACAAGCATTATCTTCTCTTGGTTACAGTGACTCACTCAGATCCTCCTCTGAGAAGGAATCACTTCACAGTGCTCAGGGTTTGGAAGGAAAGCCAAAGGGAAAAAGCTTCAAAACCAAGGATCCAACATCAGACCTGTCAGGATCGCCAGCCACCGAATACCAGATCCACTGTCTGAAGGAAAGACTGGCACAGGTAATTACCTCTCACATTACCCTTGTGGGCCTTTCTTAGCCTCCCCAGAGCCCTGACCCGAGATAGCGAATAACCCCGGTACAAATATCTGTGCTGGTCTTGAGACCTCAGCCCCAATGACTGCAAGAGATTGGCACCACCAGATAGGTGGGATTTCAGCTTCTTAATATAGGAACCCAAGCACCAGCCCCTATGATTAATGCTCTGGGGATGGTGTGCATTATGCATTGCTTTCTGCTGGACCATTGGCAAATGCTTAGACACCAATACCTAGTGGGACCTCCAGTGTGCACAGCTGAATATAACCCCAACTCCTGAGTGCTTAGACACCAATACCTAGTGGGACCTCCAGGCTGCACATCCCTAGTGTGCACAGCTGAATATAACCCCAACTCCTGAGAAATCCCCTGTACTCTCCACTTTGGATATCTAACCTAAGCTGCTGCATTCTTTTTCTCTTACAGAGCTCCCTGCTGCTGCTGCTGAGTTTCCTTCTCTGTGTCCAAGAGTCCTGCTTTCCCAGGGGAAAAGTGAGTGCTGCAGGAAGACAGAGGGCAAATCACGCACCAAAGAGCCTCCCACACAGTGCAATGCCATATTCAAGGTGCTGAGACCCAGAATGAAAAGGAGAAGCCACTTCCAACAAGACGAAGAAAAGACTGAGCTGGTCCAGGTACTCCAAGCACAGAAGAAAATGTTGAGAATGAAGAGAGAAACCAAGAGGCAGAACAGAAGAACCAAGTCTGAGCTTTGGGGACAGCAAGGATGCTGGGCTTGTACTGACTGTCTGTTGAGATGATACCATACCTCTGCAATCTGGGGCCACTGGGACTCACTTAAAGAAATCTTCACTAGATTATCAGTTAAAAAAACTTTCCTAGTTAACTGCCAAATGACTGACCCTACCTAGGCTACGAACCCTCCATGCTGTTAATGCTGTAACTCATTTTTCCTGAGTTGAGGGTAACTTCATTTCATGCGGGTATCAGTTTTCAAACCTCAAAGGGCTCTGGAGGTTCGGAGAAGCATCCTGTGGTCCAGATGCTTGTCTGAACTGCTTGAGCCTGCACAACTGGGCCAGCTGTCTTGCCAGACGGGAGACTCTTGTGAGACAGCAGGCACTTCTTGGATCTGCATGGGCCAGAGTTACTGCAAGAACTGGGGTTCTTGTGCTGGCTTTGGCATGACTGTTTCCATCCAGACCCAGGGAGTGCAAAAGTTGCACAAAAGACAAGAGCTCAAGTGAGTTGAACAAGACAGTTTTGGTTCACATCTCAGCTGAAGAGGTCCAGTTGGTTCCTCTCTCTTCCAGAGCCAACTGTCCCGGGTATGTGTGCGTGTGTGTCAGTGCGGGTGTATGTGCGTTGAGCGATCTAATCCACCTAACCAAATTCTGTGGTGTTTTGTTGCATTTGAACTAAGCCAATGGCACCTAATGTGCATTCCAACAATGCTCAGCAAAAATGTCCGAGAGTGGAAAATTATGTAAAACCAAGGCAGACTTCACAGGCATCATCCCCAGGTGAAAATGATGTTTGTTTTTGAGGTGCTAATTTCCACGGTCCCTTTCAAGGGACCTAACTGCCTCATTACACATTTAAAATAAACTATAATTCATAGACTTTCCTGCCTTTTTAATGAATTAGCCAGTCTGCGCTATTGATCATTTGGTCCTGCGGTTTATACATTTTCAGCTGACTTTTTGGAGTGTGCAGAACTGAATCTCCTGGAATGATTTTATTTCAATTATTGCTCCTAGCAGATTGGAGCTTTACTTGTAGCACCCTGGTTTATATTACCAGCCTCTCCAGGAAGGACTGGTAGTTTATTTTCCTGGGGCAGAGTCACGTGAATGAAGAAGTGTGTATGTGTTGTATCTGTGAAACTTTAATGAATTTCAACCACTGGATTTTTTTTTTTTTCCTTAGGCAATTTTACATTTGACGCTGACAAAACTACTTTAGAGTTTTTATTTTTACTAGAGATATTAGTAATTAAAACAACCTTGTACAAAAGGCAAACACATTGAATCACTACAGGTTATAGGGGTTGAAGCCAAAAGGTCTTTGTAAGCCGACATCACTTGCCCTAGATCTGACTGTATCAAGCAGTTTATTCGTCATGTGTCATGTTGGAGTTACAAGATCACACCAAGCCACTAGAACCTGTCAATAGAATAGTGCTACATTCTATTTGCTATTGTAGCAAAGCCTTTTGTAGATTTATACAATAAAACTTCGAAATATCTGCTTCAATTGCTTTGTGCCTTGCTTTCTGCTCTTCCATCCTTGGTTCGTGGGACACTGAAGTATTCCATCACCCTCTGAAGATTTGGTCTGCTGCTTGGGCTTATTTGACTCATGAAATCTTTCTGCTCAGGAAAAGCAGAATGACATAAAAATGAAATGTATTGGGCCTCTGGAGATGAGGGGTTGGATATAGAAAATATGGAGGTGTTTTAAGGGGGTTGTTTAGCATCTCAGACTGAGTCAGATGTAGGCCATGAGGCTGGGAGAAACGGTCCTTTGTGAGACTGTGGGTTGTGCAGGGCTCCTGTTGGGCACAGCTAAGAGAAAGGTTATTGAAACAGAGGCCAATCACATTCTCACTCATACTTCAGAGGTAGCATGCGTGGAGGAGCTGAGGCAAGTCAGGGCAAGGTAAAGAAATCGCTAAGCCTGAATCAGCTCTGCTTGATATCCAAAGAGACTTCAGCAGCCAGAAGAGTCAGCACTCAGCAGCATAGCGAGCCAGGAGCTATTATTGGGCTGGTGCTTTGCTACCTAAAGC